CTCTTGATACCAAGTAAGACGTTCCAAACTGACTGTAAACAAAGCCATCATACTTTGGGACCAGATATTAGACTTGACTCAGAAGAGATCTCTTTGCTTAAAAATAGAATTTTTAAAAACATTTTATATTGCATGTTCTGGTGGTGGTTAATGGTTCTTTTCATCTGAAAGCCAAGCTAATTATTATTTCTTCAGTCAACTGAGAACCTGTGAAAGCAATGTGGTAGTATTTTTATAGTAAAGGGCATAAAAGAGCAGTGGATCAAATGCCAGAGTGGAGGTGCTTTAATGTATGCATGAGGCTGTATAAAAGGGGGATGTACCTTTGTGAACTGGAGTACCTATTGCCACTCTTTATTTTAGTAGTCAGAAGAGTTTGAGACCTTTTAATGATACCAGTATGATTCATTTGATAAGGATTTTCTTCTTGAAAGCAATAAAGTGACTTATAGTAGAGTTTTGCTTCAGTACTTTATGAATAAGCATATTAGTTTAATAAAAAAGTAACAATGACTTCTCATCTATTACTATAGTATTTGTTTCGGTTGAACATTATTACCCAAGCAGATTCTGAGTAAAAATAATGATAAAGCGTTAAAGGTTTATTTTAGAAATAGCAAGTTAAGACTCTACCATTTTTGGAAATTTTACATATGATTTTGAAGACCCATCATTTAGCTACATAATTTTTACTTGAATGCTAGCTTTACCAAGTGTTTGTTATTTCTGTATTGTATGATAAAATGCCTCTCGTATTCCTAGCTTTCATGAAGAACTAAGGATTCACCCTTAATCATTCCTTTGATACCTACCACACCTGGAAGGAAATCTATAACAGCAACCCTTGAGAGATCATCTGTTTTTGCCTATTAGTTCCCATCTTGAGCCATTAATTCTATTTTGACAGAAACCAGTTGTCAAAAACTGTTTTCAAAATCAAGCAAAAATCTATCCATCTCCGTTCCTCTTCTTTCTTTACTTGTTTCTTTTCCCTCTCACCTCCAGTTTCTTATTATCTGTCTTTCAAATCCTTCCACCAAAATTTTTACATCTGTCCTGAATTCATACTCTCATTCCTGGTTTCAGCTTTGATTTTGCTCAGATTTTAGTCTTTTTTCTGCTACCCCTGATAAAAGAGGTATAAAATTGAAGTAGGGATATATAGCCTCTTAAGAGCAGAAGTATATATTTCTGAGGAGAAGGTTAGAGACTTCAGCTGGTGGGTTTGAACCACTGACCTTTTGGTTAGCAGTCAAATGCCTTAACCACTATATCACCAGAGCTCCTTATGGTCCCAAATAAAACTTCTAAAACTATAATGAGTGCTTTCATTCATAATTCAGGATCATTATCTCTATGTGCCAAGTGATGGTTCTGCGCATGTTTGTAATTTTCAATATTTCATGTGGAATTGGTATTAAGAAGTGGCTGCACTATTGCCTTATTTACTTTGTCCTCAGTTTGGGGTATACATGTATGTGTGCACGCGCGTGCATGCATGCACACACACACACACACAAGCTAAGCTCCACTCCCAACACATACAGTTTAGTCATGTGTTTTGTTACTTCCCAGGAAATGTTGACTATCCAGTAAATCTTTCATTTTACCAAAATATTTCTGATTTGAAATATAGTTTCTTCACTTTAATTATAGTATGGATCCCACCTGTTATCTATTAAGTTTTCTTAATTATTCCTATTTATATATGTTTTCCTAGAATTAAAAAAAAAAAACAAAAAAAAACCTCATTGCTGTCAAATAGATTCTGACTCATGGCAGCCCCATATGCTACAGAGTAAATCTGCTCTGGAGGGTTTTCTTGGCTGTAATATTTACAGAAGCATGTTGCCAGAATGCCACTGGGTGGGTCAAACTGCCAACCTGGGTTAGTAATCCAGTGCATACCATCTGTGCAACCCAGGGACCTTTCTTGACATTAGATGGCAGTATTTATATTCTGCACAGTATATTAATTATTTTACTTAGAAATCTTTCTCACAAAGGAAAACTGCCTTGAAGAAATATTGAAAAACTCTTTTAGCTTAATATAAAGGTAGTTAGCTGTCATTGAGTTGCCTCAGACTAATGGCGACCTTATATGAAGCATAACAAATTGTGCCCAGTTTTGCATCTTCCTTATGATTGCCAGTATATTTGAGTTGCACGTTTTGGCTATACCAGTTCATCTCGACTGGGATCTGTCTCCCTAGCCTTTCTTGGCCTCTCCTTCACCAAACTTGATCTGCCAGTGATTGAGTCCTCCTGATGATGTGTCCAAAGCAAGTGATGAGATAATGTACTGTTGTGACCCATAAGTTTTCATTGGCTAATTTTTGGAAGTTGATCACCAGGCCTTTCTTCCTAGTCTTAGTCTGGAAGCCTGATGGTATTTGAAATACTGGTGGCATAATGTCAGCATCATATCAGTGTGCTAGCCACCACAGAATGACATACTGACAAGTGGTGGCAGTATAAAGGTCGTACAGTATTTTGATGTTAAGTATTAATAACAGTATAAAATTATAGTTTAGACATCTTACACGGACTGATTTCTTAAGTGATGTAAATTATTCATCCAACCCCATTAACCAAAAAGATAGTCATTTTATGATTTTACAGATCATAAACTATATCAAATTTTACTTAAATATTCACTATTTTAATTTGTATATTTATTTTATATTATTTTTTTGAGTAGGTTCAAAAGATTTCAGAAGATACTGCAATTTAAACAAAAACACCATACATACCAAGACCTAAAATCAGTTGGAAAGCTATTTTTAATTATTTTAGCTATTCCATGTATAGAATAAAATTCTCTTTTACTCTTTTTCTGTCCCTGCTCCTTTTCCTTCCTGTTTCTAGAAAATTGATGTAGTTTAGTGTTTGGTTTACCTACTTCTCTCTTATCACTTCAAATAATTTTGGGCTTTATGTTGTTTAAGGTTGAGCTTAAAGGACTTTGGTTACCACTTATTAAAAAGTCTTCTGGTATCCTAAATTAAGATTTACAGTTTTAAAAGCTATTGGTTATTTATCATATTAGTCTTAAAAATTTCTCCAAATGTGGATTTTTTTTTTTAAACTTCTTCTGGCATTTAAATTTTAAGATTAGTATACAGGCAGTCCCCAGGTTATGAACGTCCAACTTACATACAACCTGTAGTTACGAATCAATCCCCAAAAAGCCTTTTAAATTAAAAACTCTAGGTATATACAGTGGTTTGTAATAACAAATGGGCACTATTTTGTGACACATCAAAACATTATTGTTGGATGGGGAAGGGAGAGTAAACCAGTAACTAGAGGGTAAATTTTAATAAGCCACATTATTATTATTGTATTAAAATTTTTGTGTATCTGGAAGTATTTCTTCAATGTTTTTTATGCATAGACATGTACGCTATATACTGTGTATGAAGGCAAACATTTGACTGACTGACGTTAGAAACGAACAGTATCTAATTGTTCTGACTTACATACAGATTTGACTTAAAGACAGAATTAGGAATGGAACTCGTTCATGATCTGGGAACTGCCTGTAACCTCTGCTTAGTGATAAGAGGGAGAGCAAGGGTAACTTAATCTTTATTCTTACTTGATAATCAGGTTTTTTTTATTGTTTGAAAGTAACAACAAAAGGATTACAGATGAATGCTTCATTTTAAAAATATTGACATTTCAAAGGTGTCATTTGTCATTAAAGATTGCTTTAACATCACACACAACTTGTTCACTGGGCTATTCATTTGAAGAAGCTGTTTTTTGATATAATATTTCTCTCCTATCTGGATAACAAGTAGAATTTTAGGACATTTAAAAGTCCATCTAAGCCAGAGTTATATTCATAGCTTCAATACTTTGTTTACTATTATGACTTGATTTCTTAAAATTTATATATTGAAATTATAAATGTATTCTAATTTCAGTGGTTTAATGTCTTGCATTTTCATCTTCAAGTATAATTTGAATACTCTAGACATTTTTTGGAACTTGAATTAGGGTCAGGTTTGAGTCTGTGTACTGAACATCATCAGTCTAACCAATTAGCCATCTTATACAGCTTGAAGTTGCATTTCAGCTACATTTGTGAATGATTTATCTTAGCTCTGTAAGATATTCAGATTTCTAGGACTTTTCCTTAAGAAATACTGATACACTCTTCTGGTGGCGTCCATTGTCCAGATTACCCATTTTTTCTATACTTGCACTTTCAGTTGAGTATACACTAGTGAGTGGAGCCATGACCCAGCTCTTAAAACTATGTAGTATCTCTTTCATGCCTAAATTAAATTTCAATTTGGGCCTGAGAGAATCTAGCACCCACTGGAGCTAGGATAGTGCTGCTCACTGTTGGATGGGCTACCTCAGCCCTGCCTTTTTGGTTCAGATGTTTAAGAACATGGCCCTGAGCTGCTAGCAGTTTTCAGGTAGGTGATTCCCTCATGAGAGAACATTCAAGGTTTATTTATAATTTTAAGAAAACTAAAATTTTCTCTCTATATTATGCAATTAAACTTTATTTTATATCCTCTGATTACAATGGATCAGATGCATAGTTGCATATTGTTATTTTGGAAACATTTTGTTTTATATGTTATATTTACTATTTTAAAAACTATCTAAAAAATAAAGACTTGCTTAAATGCATTATTGTTTCTGATTGAGTTATTTATTAAAATTAAAGTTTTTGTAGTTATCCTATTAAATTTTAATTGACTGTAATATCAAATAGTTTAACCAGTGATCTGTTGGTGTGATGGCCTAATGGCAAATAAAGTCTTTGTATACAAGTTGATAATCATTGGAAAATCTCAAGTTAGGAAGAGTCCTTTGAGTACAACTGTAGAATAATAGTAGAGTAGAAATTGCATACAAAATGCATGGCCTCTGATGTTTTTCCTATGTAAGTTTTCCCTCCTCCTCTGTTAAATAGCATAGCATTATTTTCCAGAAGTACATGCAAGTTAAGTTGAGGTTTCCTAAAAATTTTTTAGGTGAGTACCCAGAATATGAAGATGGGTGGGCTGCCGCGTACAACACCTCCAACTCAGAAACCCCCCAGTCCCCCAATGTCAGGGAAAGGGACACTTGGGTGAGTATAAAGTAATAATTGAAAACCATTTCATGTAGCATTGTGTGAAAACTAAACACTATGTATATTTATTTTTGAATATTTGAAGAAGAATATTTTCTTCCTGGAATTATCTTTTTGTGTGTAACTTTCCCCTTTCCTTCAAGCTCGTGGTGTACTGCCTAAGACATTTGACTGATAACCAGAAGGCTGGTGGTTCAAACCCATCAGCCACTCCTTGGAAGGAAGGTTGGGCAATCTACTTCTGTAGTGATAACGCCTCGGAAACCCAAGGAGGGGTCACTGTGAGTCGAATCTGACTTGATGGCTGTGTGTTTGGTTTGTTTTTTTCCCCTTTCCTTGTTGTTGTTACGTACCATCGAGTCAGACCCAACTCATTATGACCCCTCCTTGGGTTTCTGAGACAGTATATCACTATGGAAGTAGATTGCCCCATCTTTCTTCCGAGGAGTGGCTGGTGGGTTTGAACCATCAGCCTTCTGGTTAGCAGTCAAGTGCCTTAGGCACTATGCTACCAGAGCTCCCCCTCTTTCCTTAGAGAGCCATTTTAATATTTTAAAAGGGTTTTGATTTAGAATTGTTTTTCTATTGAATTTTAAATCTGACATAATGTTCTGGCCTAAGTTCATAGCTTTTTATATATCACCTCTAATTTTAATTCTCATTTTCCAGGAATGTTTTAAAAATCTTCTTACACTTGAACTTTACTATCCTTCTAAAGACAATTGTAAAATTCTGTGTAACGTGTTGTCAAGAGAATATTGAGCTTTAGTTGTTGTTGTTATATGCTGTCGAGTCAGACCTGACTCATAGTGAACCCTGCCTGGGGTTTCTGAGGCAGTATCACTATGGAAGTAGATTGCCCAACCTTCCTTCCAAGGAGTGGCTGGCTGGTGGGTTTGAACTGCCAGCCTTCTGGTTAGCAGTCAAGTGACTTAGGCACTATGCTACCAGAGCTCCCGAGCTTTAGTTGGTGATGCAGAATTTTGGTCTCTAGATTTGACTTTTGTCAAACATGGTCAATTAATGGAAAAGCTTGCCTTTTTACTTCTGTAACATCATGGTAGTTTATAGTGGTTTATCATGATTGAGATTTGTGATTTGGTAGGTATAATACATCCCAGAACCCAGATGACTAAAATTCTGGTCTAGTTCTGTTGCTCGCTCTGTGGTCCCACATATTCAACTTCTCAGCAATTCTGTTTTTTCATCTGTAAAAGGGGGTAATATTTGTCTTCTATCAATTTTTCAGGGACACTGTACCATGAATTGGATTTTATAAAAATATATAAGACAAAGACAAAATGCTTTGAGAACCATTGGCTTTATGGTCTATACTTAAAGCTTTTAATGAGCAAATCTTGCTTTTGGCCCCCTCACCAAAAAAAAAACCAAATCAAGCACTGTGGGTCAGGATAGGATAAGATGAGTTGGGCTATGAAGGAGAATTAACAATGAAGTAAGCATTCTAGGTAGAGTGGAGGCAGACAAAGGAACAAAAGGCAATTCCAGCCAGGAATAGAACAGTTTTACTTGGAATAGCCAAAAAATTCTTAGATTAGAGAGAAGAATCTAGTGAGTGTCTGAATCAAGTGAGAGTTGAACTTCATGATAGACTGTAGATGACAGTAGAGTATAATTGTGCAGGAGTGAGGGTGGCGAGATCAAGAGGTTTGTTTTATTTTTCTATGGAACATGTACATTTCTATCATGTATAGTGCCTAACAGATTTTGTTTGATTTTAAATCAAGATTGTAGCAAGAAAACCCACTGTAGTTTCTAGTGAAATAGTTTTCTGTTGCTCTCAAAATTTGAAGATTTACTAATATGCGGGTATTTGTTTCTCGTGTATATTAGCAAGGGTTCTGCATGATCCTTAGGGGCCAGAATTGCTGAGTACCACACAGCCAGTTGATGGTCACAGTCTGGCCTGTCACATAGTCTTTGCATAGCCATATTTCGTTCTGTAGCCCTCATTATTTACCATTTTTTTTTTTATCATTGCCTTCACTGTACAGTTCTCAATTAGCAAAGTATTTCCTTGGGTAAACAGAACAATTGTTATTGTATAGGAAAAATAATCAGGAAATCAGATATTTGGAAGTGAATCAGTTTCCTATTTTATTGTTTTATAAATTTATAATTTCAGAGATCCTTAAACTTCTTTTTAGTATGGTAAATCCAAAGTCTTAACATTCCTTTTCCTTTCTTTGACCCTATATGATATCCACTTCCTCTTAATTATTAATGTATGTATTTATACAAGGAGACTTTTTGAAGATAGTGACGTGGATGGGGTCATTTAATGTGAACTCATCCAGAATCAGTGGGCTGTACAATCAGGTGGCCCAGGAGAGCTGAGAGTCTTTTGGGAAGTGAATCACTGAGAAATACAAAAGTCAAATGAGCAACAACGTTTATGAAAAGAAAACTTTTTAGTTTTTAAATCTTGAGGTGCCAGTTTTTATTCTTTTAAAGCCCAGAATCTCATTGTCAGTTTCTTGTCAGTTAAGTATTTATCGTTGTTACAAAGAATTCAGGAAACGTAAAGAAAGATACTTTATTTTCACATATAATTCAACCATATAAATCACACACACACACATAACACATAACATAAATAGGAAACTAACATGAGAGGGTTGTACAGTTTGCAAAAATCTGTATAACGTGCACTATTTGTGTGAAAACACAGTAGATGAGAGCTAATTTTGTATTCATTAATATTCGGGTATGGATCCTATTTCTTAATCGCATTTCCTTTCTTAAGCTTATCCTCTTCCTTTAAAGAAAATTTTGAGAAAAAGAGGGAAATACATGTTAATAAAATCCAATCTGATTTGTGCTTTACAGTTCAAAGTAAGTAAAGCAGAAGGTCTAGGGTATCGTTTTATTTTTTTCCTTTTACATATTAAACTATGAGGAGAGTAAGAGGAAAGACAGATAAAGGTTGGAAGTTGAGAAAATAAGGTTGTGGAATGGAAGGAGGAGATAAAGTTACCTGTGTATTTCTGTGAAAAGATACAGTTTAATTTCTATGTATTATATAGAAAGAGAGTTGAGTTGTTACAGCTGATGTTAATGGTCAGTGTGTGAGTTGTAGAGTCAGAGTCTGGATTTGTTTAGCCTGTCTTTAGTTAGAAGAAGATGTGTGAGGAGGATAGTTGGTGTATTTATGTAGTAGAGTTGGGTGACTTTGACATGGTACTAAAATAATTTGAACTTCTAAGAAAAAAGCAGAGTCTGGGAAATATTACTTCAAGTGGTGTGTTCTTTGAGAATGAATGAACAAAATTGCATTAGCACGGGGAAATGAGGTTGGACACTAAAAAATAACCATATTCCTTAAAATGCTAATGGTGGAGAAGTAATGCTTTAGGGAAGACTGAAAATTGGTAGCTGGGTTATGTTAAAACACATTTTCCTATATCTGATTACATTTGTATTTCACTACTGGCAAATCTTTGAATTCATTGTGCCGAAACTTGCCTAATCACACAATACATACGCTCTTCTTTTTGTAGGCGGCACTCCCCCTATCGCACACTGGAGCCAGTGCGTCCTCCAGTGGTACCAAATGATTACGTACCTAGCCCAACCCGTAATATGGCTCCCTCGCAGCAGAGCCCTGTGAGGACAGCTTCTGTGAATCAAAGAAATCGAACTTACAGGTATTTTCTCTACCTCAGCACAAAATGTGATGGTCATAGTACCATAATCTGTTCAAATAATTTTAGTTAAATCTCTCTTATTTTCCAAGCACTAAGTTCTTTTCCTCACTCTACTCCCAAACCTCATCTGATTCCACCTCTCTCTCCTCATGTTCTGATGCAACTTTGAGCAGTCAGGAAGTTAAGAAAGGACAGATATGCTAAGCTGCAAACTTCTCTACAAGGTTTATAGTTTAGTTGACTTGGAAGAACATTAGGGACCAGATGTAGGAAATTACAAGTTATTTTTTTGGTGGAACTTTACAGATGAAAAACTACACACAATGAAATACCAGTATGGGATAATATATCAAGATATCATTATAAATTAAAATTAATTAAATAGTATGTTTAGGAAAATTATGTCTTTTTTATAAAGAAGTGTGTTCAGATCGGCATTAAACTGGAGTGTAAGAGGGTAATATTTATTATGTGTTGACCCCTAACATTTGTCACTTAAATTTATGGAGAAGTTTTTCATTTTTCTTAATTTCTTTAATACATGTATATTAAAAGACAATGAAAACCTACTTTATTAAAAAATTTCTATTTGAAGTCAAGGGCTTTTGAATTATCTTTATTATAGCTATATTCATTTCAGAAAATTGTAGGAAGTGCTCGTGATATCTTACTATCTATAAATATTCATATTTTGGTGGCTTTTATTTCTTTAGCAGCAGTGGGAGTAGTGGAGGAAGCCACCCAAGTAGTCGGAGCAGCAGTCGGGAGAACAGTGGCAGTGGGAGTGTGGGGGTTCCTATTGCTGTTCCTACCCCATCTCCTCCCAGTGTCTTTCCAGGTAAAATATTAATGGTGCTTCATCTTCATATGCCCTTTCTAAATTTGAATTCACTTTGTGATTTAATTGCATTGGGATTCTTTCCCTCAGGACACTGTAAGTGTTGGGAAGTCTTTATATATGTGCTATCTTTAACCAAGTGATCTGTAACTCTTTGCTCTCTGCATTTGTTTGTTGGTTTTATGGCCTCAGTGCTATGGCTCAGTTGGTGCTTCAGGTTTCAGGTACCCTTTGGTATGACTAACATGTTTAATTACTGGTAGTAGTATCACAGTGTGTGTCTTTGGACACAGTGGAAACTAAGTCTGAGAATCTTCTTGGTAAACAAAGGACCAGACACATACAAAAGTACACCTGCTCCTCACTGACTATTTAATTATCTAGCATTTCACATTTACCACAGTAGTAAAAAGTCTGCTGGCTGCTTTGTGCATTAAAGACATGTCTGGCAGTAACGAACAGCAAAGTACAAGGCAAGAGCCGACACTGGCTGTGATGGTTAAGGTTAGGTATCAGCCTGGCTGGGCCATGGTTCTCACTGGCTTGGCACTTATATAATGATGTAGTCATCCTCCATTTTGTGATCTGTTGTCATCCTCCATTTTCACATAACATGATTTTCGCATAACAACGTGGTCTTTGGCACTAACCATGTTGATAAGTGAGGAGTAGGTGTAGTCTTAACTTCAAAGTGTAGTGGATTTTGGAGCTTTATAGTCTGTGATACAGTACCTTCTTTTCTCTGAAGTAGAAAAATGTGCTTATTTGATCTGACAACATGAAGTTTAGTTTTAAAAGCATGACACAAAAGAGATAAGGATAGAATATGACATGTTTAATTTACTTAAAATAACAAGTAGACAATAATACTTTTTTAAAAAACATGAAAAAAAATTTTTTCACCTGAGAAGATATTTATGTCTGGTTTATATGTTTTCTGATTTTCATAAATCCAGATGGAATAATGTTATTTTCTAGTGTGTTGTATCTAGTTTTGTATACTGTTTACAGAACATTATGCTTAAAGTAACAATATAAAGGGAATGCTTTTCTTCCAGAGTAGCAGCTTTCAGGTAAAAAGGAATGTTTGTTTTTCATACATTATCCCTGAGCATCTTAAATGATTTGCTGCATACCTAATAATCCTTTAACTAAGCTTCATTCTTTTTTTTCAACATTTTCTTTTATTCTTTTCTTTAGTGCCAAGCACTGAATATCTAACACTAAATACTCTGATGCCTTTTCTAGTCCTGCCTAATATTACTGCTTCATTAATGCTGCCTCTTAATCCTCTTTCCCCTCAGCCCCTGCTGGCTCTGCTGGCACTCCTCCCCTTCCTGCCACTTCTGCATCTGCCCCTGCCCCTCTTGTTCCTGCTCCTGCCCCTTCCTCCACTGCCCCAGACGCTGCTGCTGGGGGTGCCCAGACCCTTGCTGATGGCTTCACTTCTCCAACTCCCCCTGTTGTTTCTTCTACTCCCCCTACAGGTGAGTTTTGGCTTATTCCTTAGCAGGCAAGTCCAGTCATCTGGCTATTTCCTTACCTGGAGCTTGGCTGTATGATTTAAAAATTCTTTTATTTGGTTCTTTGTATTTAATACCTGAAAAAAAATGTATTAATTATAAAATAGCATATGACTAAAAATTAGAATTTCCTGAGAATATCAGTATAAAGTTTCTAAAAATTTTTCTTGTTAGCATAGCACAAATACCTAATTTTATTGCTTGAATTTCATTTAGCTAAGATTTCTGAATTTAGTGTGGAGCCATCTTCTATGTGGTTTTGAGAAGTTGTCAACAGAAATATTTTTTGTTACTAGTGAAATCATTAACAAGAGGAAAAGTCTATAGAATAATTCTGAAGTAGATTTTTTTTTTTTTTTAATTGTGATTTGGGTGAAAATTTACAGAGCAAATTCACTTTCTATACAGCAGTTCACATATACTTTCTCTCATGACATTGACTGCAATTTACCACAATGCAACAGCTCCCCTCCCACTTCCTCCTGATAGTTACCTCTCCCCTGTGTCCATCCCTCCATGTACTCTTGCCCCCTGAGCTGTCTCCCTGTGCATAAACAGCCCTTCTTTCTCCCATGATTGATCTCTCCAAGGAGTGTATCTACCTCAGGTAAATGTTCAGCTCTTATGCCTGTCCTTTGTTTGGCTGAAACCCACAGGTGTGGTTCAGTTCCAGACCTGAAGGGCAGCTAGGGGCCATAGTCTCAGTGGTTCTACCAGGCTCTGTCGACCAGCAAACCTGGTCCCCCTATTTTTCTTTCCCCCAAATGATTTTTGACTTTTGTTCCACATTGTTATCCCTCTCTATCCAGGATCTCCTACATAGATCCCCCTCTGAGTGGTTGACAGTCGTAGCCGGGCACTATCTAGTTCTTCTGGGCCCATAGTCGTATAGACTGCAGATCGCATGGTGTACCAGTTGCCAGGACTAATTGTTTCCATGAACTTTTGATTTTCTTGATTCTTCTTTGCTCTGGGCAAGGAGAGACCCATCGTTACATCTAGGTGGCTGCTTGAAAGCTTTTAAGATCCCAGTCGCCACTTGCCCAAGTAGGAGGTGGAACAATGTTTTGTGTAGTATGTTATGCCAATTGAGCTCGATGTTCCCTGTGACCATGGTCCCGAACCACAAGTTCAACTGCCCGGTTCCTCTGGGTAGCTGGCTGTGACCAAGAAGTGACTACAACTTTGTCCCTTGTCAGCTCTACTATACACCTGAGAATTCAGATCATACAAATACACTCAAAGGACTATTGTCTGCTAACCGTATACATACATGGTCTTGGGTACACTCCCCATGAAGTAGACTTTATAGCATGTGTTTGAAATACTCATGTTAAAGTCTCTGTAAGTCTATTATAACAGAATCTTCTGCTTATAATAGCAGCATTGGGAAGTCATAAACAGTAAACTTTTTTAGAATTTCAGGTTTATTTAAGTTGACTGGTGTTTTAGTATTTTAAAATTGCAACCTAAAACCTGTTTTGGTAGGGGAAGAGCTAAAACTCAATTCCTACAATATGTACACGCAGTTAATAGTAATGTTGGTTAGCAAGGAAGTGCTTATCTGTTATAAAAATGTGTATGTTTGGACACACATCACCTTACTGTTTATCTTGCCCAGAAAAGTCCTTTATGGGGCAAAGCTCTTCTGTTATAACCAGCTATTTACATATTTTTAATAACACTTTTTAGCTAAAATGGATTTTTTATGGTATTTTATGGGATAGTGTCTAAATTTGCACTTTTTAAACATTGTTGTAAAAATACGGATAACATCACATTTGCCAATTAAACATTTTTCACACATAGGCAATTTAATGAGATCAATTACATCAGTCATGTTTGGCAACCATCACCAGTGCCACGTGCCAAATTTGCCATCTCCATAAATAAAAACTCAATGCTTCCTAGATAATAATTTCCCCCATTCCCTCTCCTTCCTGCTCCTGTTGAACTTTAATCTCTATCCATTTACCTATTCTGTGTACTTCATATTAGTGACATCATACAGTACCTATCCTGTGGCTGACTTATTTCACTCAGCATGAGAAGTGCTTTCTGTATGGTGCGCAAATGGCAATGTAGGCTGTTCTGATTTAAGTATAATTCTCTTAGGTCAGACTAGCCACTTAGATACAGAAATCCTATTCTGCTTCTGCGTCAATGTAGGAAAGAATGAATCTTACATTTGGCTGTAGGCCCAGAAAGGACAAATCAACATTTTAGTTATTAAATAACTTAATAAACAAATATCTGATTCATAATCTACACTGCATAAACATTTCTGTCTGAATGGGTAATTAACTGTAGTTTTTTTCTTTTTAACAAAAAGCATAATAAATGCCTAATTTATATTTATATAATCTCTTTTATACAGTCTTTGAATCAAGTGCTTTTTTTAAAAAAAGTGTAATTTATGTACAGTAAAATACACTGTATTTTTTTTCTTTAATTTTTATTTGTGGAGAATATTGTTGTTATGTGCCGTTGAGTCAGAGCTGACTCATAGCGACCCCTCCTTGGGTTTCCAAGGCAGTATCACTATGGAAGTAGATTGCCCAACCTTCCTTCTGAGGAGTGGCTTTTGGGTTTGAACCCCCAACCTTCTAGTTAGCAGTCAAGTGCTTTAGGTACTATGCTACCAGAACTCTTAGTTGTGGAGAATATACGCAGCAAAACATTCACCAGTTCAACAGTGTGTACATGTGTGATCTAATGACCATGATTACGTTCTTCAAACTGTGCAACCATTCTCATCCTCCTTTTCTGAGTTGTTTTTCCCTCATTAACATAAACTCACTGCCCCTGTCTAATCTCTCGAGTTACTGTTGTCAGTTTGATCCTATATAACCCACTCTCATCAGTTAACTATTGCCAGTTTGATCCTAAATAACCCACTGTCATTGAATCGATTCAAAACTGCCTCATCTAGTGGCACAGTGGTTAAAGCACTTGACTGCTAACTAAAAGGTTGGTTCTTTGAACCCACCTGCCTGTCCACAGGAGAAAGATGAGGTGATCTGCTTCTGTGAAGATTTACAGCTATGGAAAGACCATAGGGCAGTTCTGCTCTGGCCTTTAGGGTCACTGTGAGTCAGAATCGACTCATGGCAGTGGGTTTGTCCCATATAGATAGTTCTTAAGAGGGCATAATGCTCAAAGCAGACTTTTTTTTCCCCCTAGTTATACTAAACTGTTAGCAGTTTTAAGATGACTTCAGGGAATATGTATATATATATATATATTTAATTTTTATTGTGATTTGGGTGAAGTTTACAGATGAATTAATTTTCCACGCAGCAGGTGGAATGACAGTTTGAAACAAAATGGCGTGGCATTCATCATCACAAAGGATGTTTCAAGATCTGTCCTGAAGTACAATGCTGTCAGTGAT